GTTTTTAAGGCGAAACTAATTTCTTTTGCACCTTGTCACCAAGAAACAATTTGCGCGCTTTTTTCTTTGAGCGTCAAAACTGTGCTTGTGAGTAAAGATCTGAATGTAAAAAGGGCGAATAGGGCCCAAAGACGCGTGCTGTAAGTGACATTTCCGCATAATTAGTGATTTTCCTTACAGAGGTAGCTGTGTGTCGTGATTTAAAAAAAAAAAAAAACGCGTTGCAGTCTGCCAAATGTCTTGGTCAATATCTTGAGAGATGGAGTTTTTCGATTAAATAAAGAGTTAGCCAGTGGGCATTAGATCAAGCAGAAACCAACTTATGTTGCTTCTTAATAACCTTCTACATCTTTTGCTTCTTCCAGCAGTTTTAAATATTTCTAACATTGGGTATCTGAATTTATTTTCACTTTTTGCTTGTGCTGTAACATAATCTTAAAATTCGAAAATTTTGTAAATTTGAATATTTATTTTTTGGGCGTTTCAACGGACAAAGGCGCGCCAAAATGGTTAAGTTTCCCAGCTCACAACGAGGAACTGAAACAATGGTGAACCGTGATCTTTAATGCATTTTTTTATTTATGTATAAACCTCACATAACCATGCAAAAAGAATTATTCACAAAAATATACAAAAACGTGAAAAAAAATCAAGGCCGTTAACAAGAATTCACCATGCGGGGAAGTTCCGCGGAATAGCATAGGAAGTGCAAAAAAAAACCCCTCAATATAAGACCCTCCCATCGTCTAAACAAGCAGAACCTACCCACGCCAACATTTGTGTTTAAAACAAACTTCGAGAATTCAGTAAACTCGCACCTGTTATGTCTCAATGTCTCAAACGTCTGCCAATTTAGGCCCGGACTACCCAAGCGAGACCAGAGAAATAATATAAACCAAATATATTTTTACTAGACAAAGAAGCAATTTCCATAAAGCAGTTTTGCTCACACGAGTGAAGCAGCAATAAAGTTCCACTTTACTGTGGCATTGTTAAATGAAACCAAACGAAATAGAACGGCCACACCCTGCAGTCAATGTTTTGTTGCACGAATAGTACAGAAACTGCACCAACAGAAGGGCATCTAAAAAACCCACACACAGCAAAAATAAGAAAAAAAGGATAACCTCCTTTCCCTCTTAAAAAAATGCTTTTAAATTATATAAACAAAAAAAAAAAAAACTCACGAGTGTGGATCAACTTTCTAAATAAAAAGAAAAGAGAACTAAAGAAGCATTTTCGAATAAAAATAACAACAACAGAACAAGCACTGCCAAATCCTATTGTTTCGCAATCTTATCGGAAAATCCGAACCACCCATATAACTGGATGGAAAGTTTAAATGGAAATAATAGAAAAAAATACAAAAGAATGAAAGCGTTTTTTTTTCAATTGACAAAGTATAATAAACGAAAGCTTCCGCTGTTCCGTTTGTTTTCGACATAATGTGAAGCGTAGAGAACCAACTTCACTACTCTCTTTCTTGCAGAACAGCAAAAAGATGACCTAAGAAACGGCAGAAAACGCTGCGCTGGCTAGCGGCAGCACCGTGCTGTTTGCGTGCCCCGTATGGGACCATATAACGCTGCCTTGGCCAGCCGCGTTTTACGATTGCTAGCGCGCGTGTTCTAGTGGCGGACAGAAGTATCGGCGGGTTGCTGTGAAAAGCATTGGAAATCGTCGACGAAGGAGGTTGACGCCATCATGACAGTCGTTCCGCTGTTCTCTCCTTACGCACTCAGCTCGTCTTTTTCGTGTTCACTTGCGCATAAGAAAATAACGTGAAGAGGAAACGGTCCCGGTTCTCAAAAAGCATTAGGCTGGCCTGCCTCATTCATGGAGGTACAGGAGGCACTGTTTTTTTTTCTTCAGAGATAGCAGGCGTACTTGCTTAGGACTATATGGTGGGGTTGTAAGGTTATCAAAAACCGACACCTGATGAAGTTCTGGTATGCGATTCTCGCCCATATGGATGCTTCTTTTTTTTTTTTTAAGAACTTGATAAATATGTCAAGTGTTATTGCAAAGTTTGGATAGCTGAGGTCGCTTTTTCTTGTTGTGCTTGGAGCGAATGTGCGCCTTGTAAGAGAAAATGGGCCCGGTACTATAGATAGTTGTGTTTGGGTGTTAAAATTTACAATATTTTTTTTGCTTCTTAGTTAGGCTAGAAATAGTAAAGCGCAGCGACGTCTTTTTACTTTTTTATGAAAGAAAGTTCCGACTTGTCGAAGCGGCAAAACCAGTATAAACGCCTTTCTTTCAGATCACTGAATGATATGTATCACTGACAAAATAAAAAAATATATAAATTTAACAACACCAATATAAAAGCGATATTTTTACATTGATAAATCATACCAATAGCTCCTAAGCATTTAACTTTTACTTTTTTGACATTGTGTTAGAACAAATGGCTTTATAAGAGCACGGAGATATAAACTATTATTTACGCAGCAATGTATACGAAAAAAAACGAATGCCTGAAACCTAAGATTGGCTGAGGGAGAACAAGTACTAAAGGTGCCAACTGAAACAAGATAGCACAATGCAGTTCAATTTACCTCTCAATTTCTTTCGAAGTTGCCACCCTCCCTTCTCTCCTTGTCCCATTTTTTCGGTCATTAAGTCAGCCCTTCTCTTTTTATTAATGCCATCTCATTTTTTCTCTTGATGGGTGGTGGCAGTGGTGGTAGTGGCGGTGTTTGCATGGCGAGAGATTTTTCTCACTGGCTGTGGAAACGTTGCACGGGTTTGGGTTTTGTCAGTTTTGAGGAGAATGAATGCAGGGGAAAGGGCGGGGAACAGGTGGCGATGAGAAATATAGGATGACGAAACCCAAGCTAACAAATTAAAGTTAAATAAAGCGTCAGCAAGAAATCAGTCAAAAATGAGAAAACCTAAATTAGATGTCATTACGCACATTCGTAGCCGCACGCTCACAGAATAAATGAACGCCCCATATAAATTGCGTTTCAAGAAGATGCACACTTGTCTATTTGTTCGTTTCTTCAAAACATTTTAGTTCTTACAACTACTGACGGGGCACTGGAGACCGAGTCTTTTTTATCTTCAGAAGAAAACACCTGGGATATGTGTCGTCCATTGTGTTTAGATTAGTGATAGACTTATCTTTCACTCCAGTCGGATATTGACATTATGAAGCTGGTAGGGAAGTCACGACAATGATTGCAAAGGGATTCTTGACGCCTCTAGATATAATCGATGTCAGACAGCATCCTTGAGAATTTATCACCTGGATGTTTTTCAGGCGCAGAGGTTTTCCCCCTGACGCAAGCACACGATTGTCATACCAGTTGCTGAGTTATATATATTCAGAGCATTTCCAAATTTTATACGCGTTAATTTTCGGAAGGTCGTTAACAGGTAAGATTTAATTTGTAATATTCAATTGATATTGTATTAGTTATAGTAACGTATTTAACGATATTATATTTACGAATATGGATGCAATTTATAAGCTGTCTCGCCTAACGTTCTTTAAATATTGAACCTCTGCAGAAGAGCTGTCTTGCGAATTAGTGGAGATGAGTTTAAAGAAAGAGTTCCGTTCATATAGAAATATAAAGCTGATAGCTTTATATATTTTCAAGTTCCAATATAGATATAGAACCCACCGATCAGATAAGGCGATTCCACACATGCATACTAGTAAATAAGCATACTCAGGTTTTCCATTGTAATAAACTGCACGCGAGTTCACCGTGAAAATATAGTCACTAAACCAAAGGGCTTCTTGGGAGATTGTATTCTGCCCTTTTGAAAAATAATTTACTGAGGTTAGCATATACTATTCGCATACCATTAGTCATACAGTTAATTTTATAACAAAATATGCATAATAACTGCAAGCCTATATTATTGTAATCAGTTCGTGTCAAACTGCAAACGAGGAAATGCATATTACCATATTTACTCGAGTAATAGCCGCACTATTTATGAACAAGGCCCTTGCGTCTGCTTTCCCGAAGAACACATATACAGCCAATCAACGCGTTGCGCATAAATAACATAGCGATTCTTCATACAAATTCAATCTTCACAAATGGTATCTTCGCCCGAAGATGTCATCTCTGCCCGGTAAACCGCTGGAATCATGTTGCCGATCGCGGTGATTGGCAAGCCGCGTGCTCCACGGAAAGGCGACCCCTCAGGTTTTCTTCATAGACGGTGCGGCTACTACTTGAGTAATTATGGTATGTCTTCTTGAGACTAGCAAATACTTTGTTTTTTACGAAAGCCTTTTATATACGTGTTATTCCATTCATTTTAACATTGAAAATACATTTAACTGCTTTAGCTAAATATACATGCTTCTCTCATATTTTAAAAATATTTGATAATTTAGTTTGAAATCTTTTGGGGACCTTTACTCAGCACGCAGTTGACCGCCATCTACGGCGTGGATATTTTTTTTTTAGAAATATTTGTTTTCCGGAGAGGGTTTGCAGCAGGCATCGGGCTGAAGGTCAAATAAAATAAATAACACGAGCTCACATAAAATATACATTTGAAAGCAAAAGACTACCAACACAATAACGCTAATCAAAACTAGATATAATGCGCAATAAATAATGAATAGCTTGGCACTTTGCAACTTGCAAGTACACATAGTACACCCGACCAGGAAACACTTTTCTCACTTCCTGTGACTAAAAAAAACAACATATTATTAGGCAATGTTATACAAATTCAAAATAACACCCGCAAAATCCATTGGAGAGTTGATATATAAAAATATTCCGTAGATTATTCTAATCACCTATTGTTCTAGAGAAAACAGATGACTATTCGCGTCAGTGTTATAATTCTGGAGTTGAAACTGGCCATGTATCAGTTGTTTTGAGGCTCAAGGTTCTGCATACTGTGGGAACTGGCATTGCACAAGTTACCTGAAATAAAAAAAAAAAAAACTCGTTTTATGTTGAGGTAGTTTTTATCTTGCCGAGAGCAATGAGAGATTAGGTTTGGTTAGCATATTAATGACGAATTTGTATCGCTTATTCCCCGATAAAGGTATCTCACCGCCTTACTTTGATCTGGCAGTAGTTAATAAATTTAAATTCGTTAAACTTGCCTCAAAATTAAGGTATGTGGTCTTTTGCGAAAGGGGTCATTGATAGTTCCAAAATAAACAAGTTTTTTTGGAAAACGAGCTATGAAAACACAACATTTCTTGAAACGTGACTGGGAATGAGTACTTCTGCAATGCTATTGTCACGCTGTTTTGTTGGGAAAACTTCAACAAACAATCTGAACCTTAATTGTTTAAATTAAGAGAAGTGCATAATATGACTACTTGTCTCAAGAAACATTAAATTGATAGATGTGCCGTTATGTTTATTGCATTCCGTATACACATAAATCAAAATGAATGTTAAAGAACCCGCTTGTTTTGAGTATTTATTTCATTGTATAATTTCACATTTTCTAGCTCTACCATTATGTGGTTCTTGCCCGCAGTTCTGCTTTTGGCAGGATTTCATGTGTCATGTAAGTAGTGTTATTAGTCACAAATACTGAAATACATGTACCTGTTAATTACTATAACTAATAATCTTGCATCAATTTTCGTTCCATAAAAAAACAGATGGTGTCCCGATGTAAGTACCTTCATGTTATTCATTTTTACCCTGTAATGTATGGAAGCAATGTCTAGTGTTAATAGCTATTAATATATATCGTTTTCTCAAGTTTTACTTCGGCAGCAAAATTAGAAATGCTTAAAAGTGTGACACTAAAGCGATTTTTAAGTCCTATTTTCTCGCTTTAGATAACAACCGCTACCCTTCGTAGTTTATGTTTTTAAATGTACAGTTCAGGTGCTTTCAATAGTGTCCCTGCTTTAATTTAACTTATATCTGTTTCAAAATGTTACTGTTTTTTATGTATGTATGTATGTATGTATTTCTGGCGGCAATTGCCCTTTTTAACGAGCGTCTATAAAATAGACATGCCATTAAAGAAAAGAAGATAAAGAGAAAGATAATGAAAAGGAACTAGAAAGTCTGAGAAATGGTTCGTAGGCACTCTGAAGTATCACGAGTGGACTTTCCACCATGCCTCGAGCCTTCTCTTTGAGCACATCACATGTTTGTTCTCCTCCGTAAAACCGAGGGCCTGCTCAATGCGGGTGCCGACGTCTGTCGCAGGTACGATTGCCGGACACTCAAGGAGCAAATGTTGGATAGTTTCTTCTACCTCACCACATGCACTGCACACGGTTTCGGTCACGTTCACATCGTACCGATGCCTGTAGATGCGGGTGCGTAAGGCACCACCGCGGGCCTCGGCAAGGAGTCGGCTGCCCAGTGTGTTTCCACACCAGCGGACGGCAGCGATGTTGGTCTTGAAAGTGGCGTATAGGTGCATGCTGGAATGTTCTTCCATGTCGGCTCTCCACCGATTCGTCTCGGCGGTGTTAATTTGTCCTCTCACCTTCGCAACCCAATCTTTCTTTGTAGAGGGCTCGTCGCTCATCGAGAAGGCGCCGTACTTTGTCCCAAGTCGATTGGTACGCCTCCTCCATGTCGTGTGTAGGTTCTTTAAATGAATGTATAAAAAAACCCTTCGTGCCCAGCGATCTCCGTCCATATGTCGCAGTCGGGCGTAATACTCCAGCTTGCTGCTGGCCTCCCGTGCCTCAAACGAGGACCAGCCAAGGTCACCTTGTACAAGTTGATTAGGCACTCTCCCGTGACATCCCAGCGCCTGGCGCCCGATCTCTCTTTGTCGTCGTTCAAGGTATTCCCTAATTTCGCTGGGGACAGATGTAACAGCATTGGCGAAAGTGAGGCCTGGTACAGCGACAGCTTTCCACAGTTCCCGGGTTATTAAATAACGGTCGCAGCTCCACAGGCTCTTTCGACGAAGCACATTGCGCTTTGTCAGTGCTGATGTCTTGAGGTTTTGGTGGTGTTCTGCCAGATAATCTGCTGAAGTAGTTAGTGTAACCCCGAGATATTTGTACTTGGTACTAACAGGGAGCACAGCGTTCTGAATGGTAAGGGATTCAAGGCCCTCCATGTCTCCGGAGAAAAGCACAATTGCGGACTTTTTAGCATTGAACCGTAGTCGAAGTCGAGCCGCTTCTGTTTCACAGGCGATGAGCAGCACATTCATGTCTGGCACGCTATCAGCCATAAGGACAATGTCATCTGCAAAAGCGAGTCCAGGAAGCCGCCAATCGACGACGTCTCCATGCAGAGTGTGTTGCAGGGAAAAGCCAACGCCCGTGCGTTCTAGTGCTCTCTCTATATCGGATGTGTAGAGCATGTAAAGAACAGGTGACAGCGGGCAGCCCTGACGTAGTCCTCTGCACACCAGAACGTCATTAGAGGCGACCCCGTTGAACGTTGCCATCACGTGATTGCCATCATATAGGCGTTGTATTAAGCCTACCCAGGGTTCAGGCATGTTGAGCTGTTGAAGTTGTTTTAGCATCAAAGAATGGGGGACACTGTCATATGCCTTAGCAACGTCAAGAAAGCAACAGATGAGATTCCGCTTTTCCACCCGCGAGATCTCTATGCACTGCGTCAGGATGAATACGTTGTCATCAAGCCGACGATCTTTCCGAAAACCGTTTTGCAGTTCCGTGAGAACACCAGCACTCTCGGCCCAATAGGATATGCGCAAATTGAGAATGTTTGCAAACAGCCTGTATGCCACAGCTGTGACAGTGAGAGGGCGATAGTCACTCAATCGTTGTTTGTTGCCTCCCTTCTTGGGAATGAACGTGACTCGACCACGTCTCCAATCACTGGGAACTGGATCCTCTCCGCGAACTATGCGACTAAATAGGTGCGCCATTTGATCTCGTGAATCTGATTTTAAGCGCTTCAACACCTTAGCCGAGATTCCGTCCAAGCCCTGCGATGTATTCGCGTGTAATCTCGTGAGTGCGCGATTTATATGCACCCGCCCCACAAGGGTTACATATTCATCTGTAGAGGCCATCGATGGGAACGCTTCGTTGGGCCAGACTTGGTCATGTCTGTTCTCTGCAGGAATTTCCACATCAGAGCCAAACAGAAGGTAGAGTTGTTGCTCAAGCAGTTCTCCGACACTTTGAACTGGGCCTCCACTGTCATAATCAAGGAGTTGAGGAGCACTGTCTTTGCCATCTAGAGATCTCATGTATCTCCAGAATTTTTCTACAGCTCCTTTTCCGCCATCTCTAATCTCTGCCATGACCTTGCATTCGTGTGTTTGTTTTTTTGCTTCCACAATGTCTTGCGTGATTGCCTTGTTCTTTCGGTACTCTTCCCATAGTCGTAAAGTAAAAGGACTCTTCCCAAAGGTCTTTACCGCTTGTCTGTGTCGCCGGTTAGATTCCTGTCGCATTTGAATTGCTTGTTTAATTTCAACATCCCACCATGGAACAAGGTTTCGTTTTCCTCCCGTCTTCTTTACGATGGAGTGCTTAGCAATGACTATCCTAAGCTCGGTTGCAAAATCATCATAGCTGCGGGCTTGCGCACGTCGAGTACTCTCTTCAAAATTTTGGACAACAATATCTATGTCTTCTTCGCGCAGTAGGGTTGTAACCTTGCGCGGCGTGCAGTTCCGAGTTTTTCCAACAGTACCAAAGTGCAGGAAGATGCTGTTGTGGTCGCTGCTGACACTGTACTCGCCCTCTTCATCCACAACCATTTTTTGAAGACGCCTGCCAAGTCTGTTTGACGCGAGTGCATAATCTATGCAGGTCCGATGGTCTCGGACTGTCCATGTATATTGTCCCTCACACTCTTCCCTTAGGTTCAATATTTCCAGTTCGAGATCCTCTGCCAATTGTCTCATCATACTGCCGCTGTAATCTTCCCGCATGTCTAATTCAACCAGATGTCCGTTAAAATCTCCCAATATAAGCACGGAGATGCCTCTATCCAATTTGTGGATATCTCGACGAACACAGTCCAGGACGTTTCTATTGTCTTCGTAATAGCTGCTTCCCACAGATATGTAAATGATGCACACAGCTGCCAATACGTTGCCAATTTTTCCATGCACCCATAGGTGTTCCCGGCAATCTTCCGATGTTCGAAGCCATGGTTGTCCATTACTGGACCAAAGGAGTCCAATGCCTCCACCTCGCCGCTCTCCTTCAACTCTATTACGGCCAGTCCAGCACCAGGCTGGGTCTATAGGGGGGTTTTCCATGTCTCGCAAGTGGGTTTCCGCCACGCCAAATAGAGAAACACCCTTATTGCAAAGAACCGCGTACAATTCATGCCACTTTCGCTGCCGCCTTGCACCATTGACATTCAAGAAGCCTACCACCACACTTTGCTTTTTTCTACGGCGTGTTGTTAGCCTCGTCCGATTCGGAACGTAGACGTGATCGACTTCGTCTTCCGTTCCGAAACCCCGACTTCCTATCTCCTCTGTCGGTACAGGTCCTCCAACTGTTGTCGCACCACTTGGTGCACGAAGTGCATCACCTCCATCGATGGAAGGGCAGCAGGGTGCCGAGGGAAGTCCCCTGTGATCCAATGGTGAGGCCGGAGGTCCGGCACTGGAGGAAAATTGTCGGTCAGTTTGGCTTCCCTCGTGGGTGGCAAAAGATGGTTTGCTGGGTGACAGTTGTAGCCTTCTGGGAATAAGTTGTTCAGCATCTTGTCGCACCCAGAACGAAGGCTGTCCCTGTGATCCATTTCCCTGTGAAGGGGTAGTGTGGAGCATTGTCTTTGTGGGTGTACAGGCCACGTCGCACCGATAGTTGGAGGCCGCATCTCGAGTCCCGCCGCGGATGGGTATTCCTTCAGGTACTCCGGGGAATACCCCAGGCCGATCGTAGTTGGCGTTTGATTGTATCCAGAGTCGCTGGTTATCACGTGTGGTCTCATGTTGGAACGAGAACGGGGTGCGCCCGGAACCAGTTCTGTGTAGTCGCGTCTCGCAGCTGACACGCGATGGACTGGTGTCTGGTTCTTCCTGTGCCTGTTGTTCATTGACCGGCTTTTCTGCTTGCTCCAACGTGACCGGAGCCCTAAAAAACGGCTTGCCACGGCCCCCAGCCGGTTTGTGACTATTTGTACTCCTAATTGCCGATAGTGAATCCCATCTGTCTGGATTGCATTTGTATTTTCAAATTCTAGGGTAAAGTCTATAAACCGTGCTTTGATGTTTTTGCACAGCTGTTTTAATTTAACATTAAGCAGCATTATCTCAGCTTGCAGTTGCTTGCCTCTGCTGCGAATCTCCGGAACTGAGCAGATGGCAAGTGCGTTTTTACGCTTCGTCCACTTCAGTCTCAAGCCTTCTATTATAGCATCTGATTGACCACCTTGTAATATATCGTTCATACCCACATGGAGGATGTACATACGAGGAACTTGTCTTGCTCGTTCTTCGTACGTTTCAATCAGCTCATGAATCTGCTCGAGCGTTCCATCTCTGTTCAGTATTATTTCCATACTCCGGTAATCTCCGACGTCTTCAGAAAGCGCTCGAGCAAACAGGGCCACATTGCTGTCTCCAGCCACAATAACTTCACGGTGAACACCGGATGGCGGTCGGATCTGTTCCTCTGTTCTACTTAGTTGAGTAGTGTCTTTCGAAGTCTGCGTCATTCGATTCGTTGTACTCACAGTTGTCACCTGCGAGCTCTGAGATTCAGTTGCGTTGTTTCCGGCTGCGTGAGCTTGATCTTCCATATCACAGTTTAAGACTATCTGACTCTGCGTCGAGAGTATGTCGCAGTAAGGGAACAATTTACCCAGCTGTGTTTCATGCAATGAATCGAACGATTGACTGCTCCGCCGATCAGTGGAGTTGTTTCTCTCTAAGTCCACGATCGTGGTACTCAACTGCTTCTCGGATATCGCTATCGGCAGTTCTTGATTGGCTGAGCACATTGATCCTAGTGGCCTGGTCCCGGTGTCCTGTAGAACCGCCCTCCATTCTGTAAGTTCTTTCAACTGAATCTCCGTTGACGTCAGCCTCTGTTGTATTTGGCGAAGTGTGTTTCCATCCGTCTCTGCCCGTTGAAGTCGTTCGGCCAATCCGCCTATTCGCTCTTCTAGCTGCTTAATTTCCTGCTTGTGTATGCGGCGTAATTCAGCGACAGCTGCGCAGTCTTTGCATGATACCTGGGGCAGGTCGCCGTTGGTCTTGAGCTGTTCACCAGTGACCGGCTCAATAGAATGGTGTGAAGCCTGCTTGGTGATCTTGCCTTCCGGCAGCCTCTGAATAGGTCTGTCCTGGATCCCCTCAGAACTAATTGTTGTGCCTGAGGTTGTCAGAAAGTCCTCCTCGCGATCAGTAAGCGACCCGGTATCAGCCTCGCAGATCGTCGGGGTGAGAAAGGGGTCTGCACTCAGCTCCCCGGTGCTGCCCGGCGATGTTTCATCCCAGTCCACCTCAATCAGGAGGTCGTCAGGAACTGCAGTAGCGGCTTGGAAGCGATCGAGCAGTTCGCTTTTCGAACCGACGGTAGATAAACCTCTTGCTTTTAGTTCGCGTTTCAGATCTGCGACCTTCATCATTCGCTTCGTCGTCGTCGTCCGTAATTTTTTATGACCTCAAGATAAGTTATAAATAGATAGATACTTAAATAAATTAGTGCCAGGGGTGTTTAAGAGTTACCGTGAAACGTTTTTTTTTTTAATACGCTTTCACAGTGGCTCTCAACCACCGATGTTCCGCGCCCCCTTGTGGATCGGCGGATATGATGGAGGACCCCGTTCGTGGTGAGGGGAGGGGAAATGTAAAAGTTAAATATAATAATGATTTAATAAATGAATAAAACTAAGGGCTTCTGTGAAGTAGACTTCTCTCCCCTAGAATATATTCGCAGACCCCAAAGGGTCCTCGGATCCCGCTTTGAGCACCACTGGACTAGTATATGGAAGTTAAGAAAACAGTTGCTTCCCTGCCGTCAAACTGAAACTCTTCTTTAGCACTTTCTATGTATTCCGATATAAAGCAACAATAAAAAAAATAACCAGACTGAAGTGGCGTGTATTTGAAAAAAACTGTGTGTAATGCGATACAACATTATGGCTATTACGGCATTTTCTTATTTTCTCTGCTCACATCTGCCTGCTCAGCTCAATGTCCCACATAATTCGTTCGAGCTTTTAATTGCCTGCCATCCCGCTGACATTAATTACACAGATCCCTAAACCTATTATTAGTGCTGTAGTTTTATACGTATTCGAAATGCAGTTGGCGTTAGTGAATAGGCTGGGAATAATATTTTGTCTCTTTTATTTACAGTCAAACAGACGCGGAGGTCAATGAAGGTATGAATCTAATCACATTGTTTTAAAACAAAAATATTCAGCATTTTGAAGCCATTTTTTGTGTGAAAGTTTTCCTTTTTTAACCTATGTACAATTTATAAATGTGTGTATAGATCACAAGGTAATCTCGAAGCACACGCTAGAGCCACGAGTTGAGCCATGATGTAAAAATAGGTTTTGCAATCCCTGCATGCTGAAATATTTTGTAAACAGCCATTTGAATTATGCAGCTTATTGAAAGATGTACACGTCTCAACCAGTAACTGATTTTAAATGTTCTCGTCAAAGGTATGCCCGTCACATGATCAAGAATAAATAGGTGCTTCTTGTTACCCTCACTCTAAAAAATTTCCTCAGCCTAAGTTGTTTTAGTAACATTCTCAACAAACATTAAAGCTCTCACTTTTGATATTCGAAACTGCTTTTTTTAGCTTGAATTCAGGAATTAAATAAGGCATGAACACCATTATTACATGTGAACATGACCGCAATATTATTATACTGTTTTTTTTTTGTTTTTTTCAGAGCAAATGTTGGAACCCACTGCGGACTTCTTAGCCTTGCTCGGTGAACGCATCGCACTCGAAGCTTCGGTTCATGGCGATTCTTCTCTAGAGCTTGAAGAACAACTTAAGCGCATTCAGGCAAAACTGGATAATGTCCTCCGCGGGAAAGAGCAAGATATTTCTGAGACGCTACAAATTCTAGCAGCCATTTTGAAGAAGAATAATGTCACAGACGATGACGCCGATGAATATGGCTTCTGGAAAAAAACCAAGAAAACGTTGACCAGCCCCAAAGCCAAGAAGATTTACAAGATTGCCGGGAAGATTGCGATCAGATTGATTGGATGAGCTCTGGAGCTATATGTCAAAAATAAAAAGTTCGGGCAATTGTCATGTTGCCCTTACTTCTGAATGCATAAGTCGTGCTCCTTTTATCTAGGTAATTGTCATCAAAAGTGCAAAAAATACTGTTCATTATAGTGTCGCAGTTTTCTTTTTGTTTCAAGTTAATTATAGCTGTTTCTTGAACAGAAGCATTGCTTATAATATTGCAGTACTTGAATACATTATATAAATTAACATACTTCATTCCCAACAATCAAAGACAACAATGAAGGAAAAATTTGTTTTCTCGCTATAAATTAAAAGGGAGGGCACAGTTATCAAAGCGCCTCCAGGCATGATTTCTACGTGGGAGTTGACATCGCCTCGACACACACACACACACACACAAAATTGTAGAAGTTAGTTCCAAATGCGATTAAAATTGTGCTCAGTTTTTCTGAGAAATGTTGCAAGACAGACGAACTTTGCGCTATTAACTTCAAGTAACAGACCCCTGAACGAAATAAGCGTTGATTAAGGAAGCCGAGACTATGCGCGACTCCTTTAGCCAGGTAGATTCACGGTAGTACCACTTAGAAAAAAGTTCTTAAACGCATTTTGCCCAACATACCTCTACGAGTCGCACCGAGTGACCGTACTGAACGTCATAAGCAAGCTTATGTTCCTCACGCCGTCGGCGGTGTGGCTTAGTGATTATCGCGCCGGGCTTGCATTCCACTTTCTTGAGTTCGATCCGGCTCGAGTTCTTACTTTCTTGCGTGCACCGCGGCGCTATTGTGAATCATCAAGGCGTAGACATCATCAATTTTTGTTTTAATCTGTTAGCGTTAGAACGCTCCTTTTGACAAAAAAGCGGTGGTGTCCTTCATTTGTCCGTTGTCGAGTGCGGCGCTCCCTTTGATCTGAAGGGGTGACGTCAGCACGCGTTAACCTTTCCCTCCCTTCCCGGCGCTGACAAGTGACAGACACCGCCGGGTTTTTGTCAAAACTTGCCCTTCCGTTTCGGCAAAGTAACGCGCACCGCTGGCGCCGAGCCAGAGAAGAGGAGGCGCCGCGCAATACCTTCAAGGTAGCAAAGCCGTAGTGCTCAATGAAATGGCTCAATCAGAAAAGGCTAACGCCGGAGACAAATTGTAAACTAGTACTCCGACAGCGCTTGGCTTCCAATCAAGTTTGAGCTGAACGTTAGTCTTCTCTGATGACGCCGTCTCATTCAGCACTAAGGCTTTGCTATCTAGGTGCTCAGTTGCCGCTCTGCTGTCGCCGGTTGCTCTTCGCTCTTGGTTTCCATGGTAGCGCAGCGTGGGCTGTGATCAGTGTTTGAAGATAAAACGATTGAAGCGGTTCACCCCACGAGTGGTATGAACGGGGTTCCTTCCACGAGTGATACGGATGACCGTATCAATCGAGCAGTATGCAGCGATCTCCACAAATGTCACCTCATTCTTTAGAATAAACCCCGATTCGCGGTGTCTGGTACTTAGCGAAGAGTGTGCATATTTCAGTGTAAATTGGTTTGGATTAAAATTAGTTACATGCTGCATGAGTCCACGGAAAGCAGAAGGAAGGGTTGAAAGTTTGTGTCGCGTGATCTTGTACATGTTAGCTAAATTCTGCCTGTAATATTTGCTCCTCAGCATTTATTTGTTTCATACATATTAAAAATAGCGCAAAAAAGACAGGAAAAAAAGACGAAGAAGCACACAGGACAAACGCTAACTGGCAACTAAACTTTATTGAAAGCTTCCAACTTTGCTATCGCCATGCACGCGCTTAGTCTCGTTCAACAGAGACAGGGCGTAGCGCCAAATCCGCACAATCATACCGCCCACCGCCTGTTCCAAAAAGCCAGCAAAACAGCTACATCACCCCGCCGCACAATCCGAACGAGGAAAGAATAGAAAAAACGCCGCGTTAATATTGTCAAGTTAGACAGTGTTAATGAAATGGTACTCTTTCTGCTGCATACACACCGATGCGACGCTTATGCAAACGTCTTTGTCACAATCACGTATTTTCGCTGCCTCCAGCAACTCTCGTTCCCTCCTTCCTTTGTTTCGTCCCTCCACCTTCGCACCGTCCAGCTTGGGGGAATAACCACGAGTTCTACAATACCCTGGTAAGTGGGAACCGTAATTGTTGCCAAGAGAAGCCGCATGCTCTCGAAGTCGGTCATTTAAGCAACGTCCCGTCTGCCCTATTTATTTGTTTGTTTCCACCAGCTTCTTCAATCCACGGGCTTTCAGCGTTTGAAAATTAATAACTGAACTTCGGTATCTAATGTTTCGGAATTCGAATCTTTTTACAATACCGTATTCAGATGTTCAATTAGATATATTTAATACGGGCGAATTAAAAACAATAAAAAAACTGGCACAGCTGCGGAACATTTGACTGGGACCGTTTTCTCTATGTTGGCTCTTCGAACCTATCCTTTCCGGAACCTTATTGTTCGGGACCATATTGTCACGCGGACGTAACAGCACGGGTGAAATTACTGGGACCACTCGGCGAAGAAACTGTTCATTGGGCGAACTCGTGCCTCAGAGGAACAGCAACTTGCAGCAGCAAGGCTGACAAGCACAGTCTGCGGTCGGCGAATCGAACGCCGCTGTGTGCGAACTCGTCCTAATTATGCACAATCATGGTTTATTCGAGATTGTTAACTTATGCCCGGAACCTTTGCGAACATTCAACTTTATACACGACGAGTGGCCAAGGGCATTATGTGACAATAGGCGAGCTCGCTTAGTACAGAAAGAAAAGTGACAAGAGGCGACGTTAAGAAGGAAGATGACAGTGCGTATACAGAGACCAAGCCAAGCAAAGCACGTGGCAATATTTTATGGGACCATATGGTCCGCATATGGACATGCTCCGCTCTCCATATGTGGCCCGCTCCGCTATCCGCTCTGACCCCTTGCATCTATCCTATGCTGCCCACTTCGATAGCTGCTGCGTCCCGCTCAGCTACGCGATGCGATCCGCTCCGCTGACGAATGCTGCCCGCTTCACTATCCGCTGCCCGCTCAGATTTGCGATGCGGTTCGCTGCACTAACCTATTTGGATTTTTTTTGGATGGTGGACCACCGTCCACTATCCATATGTAGCCTGCTCCGTTATCCTGTGCTGCCCGGGCTTGCTACCCCCTGTGGCCCGCTCAGCTATATGATACGGTCCGCTCCGCTACCAGCTATCGCTGTAGTGCGCATGGTATGCACGGTGGCCCGTGCCTATTCGCATTTGATGAGCAAAAGACAGGATTCAAATAACTGAATCGCTTTCTGTTTCGCCAAATAGGTTCCTGATCAACCGAGAACCGCCGCATAAGATTGTTGCTAATTTTTGGTTCCGGTTCATTACCAATTGCTTGATTTAGAATTCGGTGTTTTTCCGGTTTGGTGAAAATAACGATTTTCGTCCGGTTTTCGGCTCGCGTTTGAGTTCTTTAACCCTCTGCAGATTTACAGAAGATTCTTTGTAAGAATGACTGGCTGGCTGCACTATATTGTTGTGTGGCCCCTTCGTTTGCCGTGTTTGTACAGGCATAAAAATTGATGGGCGTCGTTGTTTGTCCAACGTGGGGACAATCTGGTTTTAGTTCCTTGGTTTTGTCTTTGTATACAGTGTTTTTTACTGCTTATGGGATTTCATGTTTTATCTTTCGTGATCAAGTAGTTCTCGTCCTCTGAAAACTTCATTTATGTCTGGCATGCTGGATGGTCTGGCCGTGGAGGGGGGGGAGTCGCTTTGTCAGACATTCCGATGCCTTTTGTGGCGGCTCCTAGGCAGCTGTATTCCTGGACGGTTGTCCGAATAATCTTTGATTTATTTATTTATTTATTGATTCATTGACATCCTGGTAAAATGTCAAGCTTTTGTTATCAATTCAATTCAATGCTATGTTTATTTCATAAGTTAAAGAGTTTGGGTCCCATATGCAGGGACCGGCTACTTCAAATCAATAAGAATGCCCCATTATGTTCTTTCTGTTGATATTGAAGTGCTAATTATTTTGCGGAACAAGCTCAAAATTCAGCAATAACAACAAGCAACTCGACTGTTGAGTTTTTATTAAACAAGCAAAAATAGCATTACCCGACGCATGGGATGAAGGCCTGTACCATTACTGAGCCATGAGCCATGGTAAAGGGCTCAAGAGATGACTTATAGGGGCACTGACACCCCAAAGGTATTATTTGTTTTTGTTGTCAAAAAGCATGCAAGTTGTAGTGATAGACACGCAAAAATACAAAAACGCAAAAAAAAAACACCGAAAAATGTTCTGTTTTCGCGCACGCCCGCCCTTTTATTTTCGGCGTTTTTAATTCTCTCCTGCTCTTCACCTTCTCGCTTATTTTTATTTGTGACGTAAACGATTCTGAAAGTTAGAAGCTTTGTAACTGACATTTTTATAATATTTAATAACGGCATTTGTAAGACATGTTTTTAACGCACTTTCGAACGCACTATGGCTCTTTTATTTAGGAATACCGAAATCAGACTCTGGAGTGATGTCTCCTCCTGGTATTGTATCCTATCTTAGAAAACATGGCAGTGCTAGGCGCATGTAGCACGGAGGATGGTCAGTTAGTCGGAGAATCGGACGAAGTTCTCTTTTTTAGGTACGCGACGACTTCTCATACTTCGAAAAGGAAATCGTGAAACGGTCAGAACGACTGGGTATCTGTGTCTCGTAGTTTCGTTTGTGACTCCGGCGTGGCAGCCTTTCACGCACAACCGGCGCGACGTGGCTCACAAAAGTCCACTTCGCGTTATCTTCGACCTCACAACGTTTCAAAGAATTGAAGATCGCTGAAAGAGCCCTAAAAGAACTTCAAACAAGAAAGGGAAGCATTGTCTGCTCACAGCGATAGGCGTCACGCACGAAGCGGTTGACCGCGGGACGCGGGCGAACATGACACGGAGGCATGTGAAAAAAGCTCGAGTTGAAGGACGACTCAATCTTTGACGTCACTGCACTGAAAGGGATCGTGCAAGAACTTCAAATTCACTTTTGTAATTTTTTTTTTACTTGTCAAATA